TAAAATATCATGTCTTGATCTTTATGGGAAAGTTCCAAACCTCCTGCAGTCACCAGAATTCCCAGAAGCCCACACACCTTCCCTCATGGCAATCTGTTCTGCCTCAATTTGCTACTGAGCAGCAGATGCCATGAACCTGTTTATTGTCAGATTATTTTCTAGTGAGGGCCTGCCCCATGAACCAAGTGAAGGCGGACTCGAGCAAGACTGAGCATTCACCACTTACAGTGACCGGCGTCTTGAACCAAACTTTGATGGGCTTCAAACCCCTGGGCCACTCAACTCCCCAGTTATTCTGTTTTGCTGTCTATCTTCATCTCATCATCCAGACTTTACAACCTTGCCTCCAGTCAACAACCATTTGGGTTTCTCCAGACTTTGCCCTCATTAGGACTTCTGATAAACAGCCCTCCCAGCCAGCCTGGGCAGGGCACCTGTGCAGGAACCATCAGACTGACTGTCCATACCCTTGTGGGGAAATCAATATTGACTAGTCCTTCTTTTCTAAAGTCCACATTTGGACTCTGTGGCCTAGTACTACCTTGTTTTCCTCTGACCTCTCCAATGACTCCTTCTCTACTTCCTTTTCCGGCTAATTTCTTTGGATCTTTTGAATATAAGCATCACTAAGCTTCATTAAGAGTTCTCTTTCTCCTTCTTTGCCTGAAAGATCTTATCTACTAACACTTTGGTCAACCAAGTCCTTGGCCACAGACCATCATCTCCAAGGACCTGCCTCGCACTCCGTCTGGATACCCCAATAACAAATTAAGCTTACCTCCAATTTTCTTATTTCTGCTCATTTACACTAGCAAGTCTGCCTTCGCCGTGGTCAGAATCCACTCATAATGGACCCTGACAACCTTGCCTTGTTCAGAGTCTGTGTTTTGATTGAATCTGTCTTGAAGTTTACCCTCTTACCTCTTTATCACCTCCTGCAGGTGGTATCATTTTCTATGGATTTCCTCATAATCAAGATATAAAGGAAAGTAGGTGCAGAGGGAGACATACAACTAGAAAATCTGGCTTATAACACAGTTTTTTTGTTTTCCACTGGAGTCCCATCCTGGGAAATAGCCCTCTCCTATCTGAGTCCCACCCTCCAGGTTCTGCTTTCTTCTCTGAGAACCTAACTCTTTCCCTAATGGCTGATAACAGGAAAAGCCACTCCCTTCTGGACAGACTCCTGCTCCCACCTACAGAGTTAGTCATTGTTCTATGGCCTCAATAGGGCAGACGATCTGAGGTACCACACAACAAAAACCCTACAGGCGCCCACAAAGGGTGAAGTGGAGGATGGCTAGATTTGGAACCAATAGAGTAGAAGGTTTGTGCCTAAAACTAGAGCCCAAATGTAGGAAAAGTATCTGTTCCACCTGCTGCTGGTTGATTGCATTAATAGCCCAAATTCCTCAGCCCTCCTTGATCCATGTCTTTTGCATGTGACTTTGCAGTTCCTCCCATTAAAAAGGCTGAATATACTTTGCCAGCCCTTGACTTGGATTCAGCCACGTGACTTGCTTTGACTAAAGTAACATTTGTTGTGTGACTGGGCCTGCTGTCTTGTACCTCTGGCATTGCTGTGAGAAGAACATGCTTGCAGTGCCAGGAAGAAGACGAAAAACACAGGAAGCAGAGCCAAACTGCCCTATCCAGGCCTAGTCTAGATCAAGCCAGTCCCTAGCCAACTCCCAAATATGTAAACAAGCGCAGACAAAATCTGCAAAGCCACCCAGATGAGTTCAACCTATACCAGTAGATCCTCAGCTAAATAGCAGATGGGTAAAATAAATTACTGTGCTTTTAAGTCATTAAGCTTTTGGATGGTTTATTATGCAAAAGTTTTGTAGCCATAGGTAACTAACAGTTAACTCACAACCCCAGTGTTCAATTAAACATCCCACTGCTTTCCTCTGAAGGGTAAGGGAGGAATTCTGGAAACCATAAGGCTGATAACTGTAGTTGCAAATGCAGGCTCTTCTTTGCTACATTACATAAATGTTTCCCTCCCACATTAGTAAGAAGGTCCGATGAGACGTTTTACTGTACCGCTAACTCTTTCCGGAGGTCAGTGACTTCAGCTTGGCTTAACTGACGCAGAGCATCTTCAACTAGGTGACTCCGTCTGACTTGAAGTATAAATATAGGTGCTGGAGGGAATTCATCCTTTCCTTGCTGAATTGTTTGCCCCAGGGATGCACACACTATTGCATTCTAGAAAAAGAAATATTTTAGGAATCCTCATAGGAATACTAGGAAGTGTTTAATATTTCAAATAAACATATTTTGGATAGCATACACTTACACCTGCCATTGCTATATATACTCATATTCTAACTATTTAAGGAAAAGGGCATCATATGTACACTCATGGATAAAGAGATCACGGGATCTGTGAAACTATGGCTCCTAGGAATTGTGTACAGGGGATTAGTCCCCATGGATGTACAATTGAGTAATTACAAGCTATCTCAGACCACATATTATGGTAAACATGATCCTTCAAGGCAACAGTGGTATTCAACATGCTGAGACATTTGTCCACGAGCAGTCTCAAGAAGCAGAGTGTTAGCACCATAATCCTCCAGAATACAAGGGCAGTTCGGGAGCTCCAGGATAATGTGGATATAGGAAAAAGACTAGAGGAAAGACTCGCTCAGAGAAGATCCACTCTTCCCCTTCAAATAACTATGATCCATCAACCAAATCTGCATGGGAGCTCCCCAGAAATATGCCACCGGTGGCCTCAGTTTGGACCTAGCATTGTTCTCAGTCACCACACATAGTACTTCCGTTTAGCTTTTCTGAATTCTCAGCATTCCCTCACTACTTCAGTCCCCCGATCTTGTTTGTGCTGAACTCCCTTGGATTAGAAATCTAGTGTTGGACTTGCTATCCTCGCTTTGACCTTTAACACTCTTCTAGGGCTTCTGCTATATCACAAGGACAATAAAGGAGTATTTAGGACTCACAAACCAATGCAGCCCTCTTGGGGCCTATCCCGCAATAGTGACAGTAAGACAGGTGGGCAATGGCTATCCTATTCCAGGTTTCCAGGCTGGGGGTGTTGCCCATATGAGCACTCTATAAGCATCTCAGAGAAGCGTGCATGTGGCTCCGGGCTTGGGAAGGCCCTGACCCGGATCTCTGCCAGCACTATATCCTCAGAAATTTATATGAGATTCCACTAGATTCTTTGGGTTTTTCCTTAACATGTTTGTTGGAAAGAAGCTCCAGGTTTGTAGGGAGATGGATCAAGTGCCATTTCTGGTCCTTCCTGGTGATGGTGATGGGTCAGCTCCTCCTGTGGCCCAGGCATCTGCAGCTCTGGGACACTTCACTAATACTGCCTGCTGAGCAAGCAGCACGTCCCACGGCTCAGAGTGACAGCGAGTGGCCAGCAGTGTCCTCCACTGACTACAGCAGGGAGGGGAGTATGGGGCCTGCTGCACGCCTACTTTCTCTCACGTAACCAAGGTCGGGACTGGAAACCTGCATCTTAGTTTCCAGTTTCTCTACCCCTATTCTCCATGTATTGGTTTCCCCTTTCTACATTCATGCATTTGAATTGGTAATCCAGTTTGGAGCTTACCATCCTGACTATGTCTAGCATCTCTCCTTTGGAGGGCCCGATTCTGGAGTCTGCTTTCTAACTTTACCCATGACACCTATAACTACAAGTTCTCTTGTCCTCAAACGTTCCCCAAACCTTCATGATATGCAACCTGCCTGGGTCCACTATCCACACAACCCTCAGGAACAGAGTAGACAGGTTAGAACACTGCTGTAGAAGAAAACACGATAGAAGGAAGGACTTGTTTAAAGGAAACTGAAGGGGAAATTAGGTTTGGGAAGGAAAGACTCAATCTATTTTCTTCCGTTACCAGAGATGTTAGGAAAATAAAAAGAGAAGTCGCTGGGAAACAAAAGACGAGATGACCCAGTCAAATCTCCTTGTAACCATGCTGATGACAGACACTAATAACAGCAACTAGAGGGGGAGTCCTTGTCTACGGAATGCTTTTAGCAGGAGGTACCTTGTCTGTCTAGGTTGTTTATCATAAATAAACCTGGAACTTATGGATTTATAGGGCACGGCTCGTTGGAAAATGTCAGGTAAGCTCTATAATTAGTGGGGTATAAAAAGGAAATGTTTGATAACTGAAATGGCTCCTTTGTGCATATAAAGTCTCAGACTTCTCCACATTTCACCCAGATGGCCGTATCCTTTGATTTATGAATAAAAGTAGTGGGTATGACTTCTGATTCCTGTCAGTCTTTAAAGTATAAACATTATAGATAAATAGATATGATCCTTTCCTAAGGAATGGCCTGGAAAACAAGCCTCAGCCATCAAAAATTGGAAAATCTTTAGCATAATGTCTGGGGGCAGGGGGTGGGATGAGCATTATGTATATTTAACTAAGAACTAAGGCTGATGATGATAGGAGAGACAAAATAGCATGTAAATGCGGCCAGAAAAGGAGGAGAAGGGAGAGTCAGTGGAAAACAGAATAAACTGACTGACTGACTCAGTGGCATTATCTGGGAATAAAAGAGTATTGGGGGGACTTACTAATTTGAGCAGATATGAAAATCTAAAGCCTAACACTGCATTGAGGAAGAGAAGGAGGGAAATGGAAAGAGTAATTACTAGATGTTTCAGTTGCTCATAGTAGGAAAACAATATCATCTCAAGAAAGTGAGGACTTGGGCGTTATATAATAATGAGAGAAACAATTAAAATTAAACCGAAGTATCGTGATTAACCCATTGAACTGGAAAAGATCACAAAGCTTGGTAACACTCTGCATTGGTGAGAGTGTGTGAAAGGGGCATTTCATACATTGCTGGTAGTAACATAAATTGGTACAACTTCTATGTACGGTAATTTGGCAACATTTAATAATTAAAGAAAAAGGATTATGCATTATTCAACCTTCCGATCTGATTGATTTTTCAGGGGAACCAAATGGCCCTGATGGGGAATTGATGAGGAAAAGTTCTTTACAGAATTCCAGTTCATAACTTTGGAAGGAATGATAAGATTAGAAATATCACCATTTTTCAAAATTTAACCAAAACAATGCATGAATTATTAAATAAAAGGTTGAGGGGAAACATTACAATGGAAGAATCATGTGGTCACCACCTCAACCCACTGATGAATCTCAGCCTGAACAAGAGGGAAACAACCAGAAATAATGCATTGAAGTATGGAGAGGTGACAAGAAATTGGGCCTGGGATTTGCTTTAAGATACTTCAGCAAAAATAGTAATAACTAGAAAAAATAAGTGATAAGTGAAGAAAGTGTGGCAAAATGTTGATGACTGCTGAAACTTTGCGATGGGGTTCATTACTCCATTATCTCTATTTTGTACATGTTTGAAATGTTACATAATGAAAAAAGTAAGGCATACATACCTGCATTTGTTTAACGCATTCAGCTTGGAATAATTTAATTTTGGATAGCAAATTAAAGATAAACGGAAAATCACTGAAAATAAGGAGACTGGCCTTTTCTGCAGGTATCTAAAAAATAAACAGAGATAACAGTTTTGATAATTAAAAGAAAAGAAAATCTCCATTTCTTTACCTCATCACCTTAAATTATTCCCTCTATACTTTTTTGTGATCTGTTTTTAAGAATCCAAACTACCTAGAAACAAATTTCTAAGAAAATGCATTTGTTTGGTGAGTGAAAGATATTTAAGTTTTCAATGATCATCTAATTCACCAAATTCACTATTTCAATGAAGAAATTTTCAAATCTTGATTTACCAAAGAGATACCTACATAGCTACTAATGCGCCCCCATTTAAAGTATGATAATTTTCAGAAGTAAAAATGTTATTCTTACCAGGTTGTTCTTCCTCAAGAACACTCTTCTTCTATCTTCATAAAAGTTCAAAAAATAAGAGAGTTCAGTTATGTTGAAAGTATCTTCTGGTACTAGACAGTTAGCTTTATTTACCTTAAAGAGAATATGACCTGTGAATTTCATTTTCTATTAATAAACGATTTAATCTATTTTTTAGATATGGCTATTATATAATTAGAATAGAGCTCTATAAATCCAATGCATTTGTCAGTGATGGAGTAGACTTCCATAACTCTTCCATTTTTTGATCTATAATGTCTCCAATTTTCGTGAGTACTGTAAAAGATATAAGATGTTGGCAGTGGAGATTAGGAAACCAATTCTTAGGGCACAGGTTTACTGGAAACAGTTTCTAGATCGTGAGAATAAAAGCACCAGAAAAACTCAAGGTATTCTTGTGAATTCAGCACTTTCTCTATTAACTAATGAATACTAATTTAGCACACACTATTTGTCAGGCATGGGACAAAACATAAGCTAAAAATGGTCCTGACTTACACACAGCTCTTTGTCTACTACAGTGGTCAGCAAACTCTTTCTTAAATCCAGTCAGTCAACATTTTGAGCTTGGGATCATACAGTCTCTGGTGCACCTATTCAACTCAGCCATCTTGTAGCACAAAACCACCGCAGACAATATGTAAACAAGTGCATGTGGATGTGTCCCAATAAAACTTTATTTACAAAAACAGGAGGCTGCCCGTGGGCGTAGATTGCCAACCCATGGTCTAGTAGGTAAAAACAGCAAGTAATCCAGCATCTAGGATGCAGTTCCTGACTGGACAAGGACTTAGGGGGTTCAAGGCGGCTTCCCAAAGGAAGCAGAGCTAGAAAATCAATGATCTAAATAAGCCCCATCACATCAAATTAATCCAATAGACAGAAGGCAGGAAATAAGAAATCTCAGAACATAAATTAAGGAAAAAATCAGATGTATAGGAGAGAAGACCAACAAATAAAAAGACTGAGTCGTAAAAAAAAACAAAACTTCCTGGTAAGACAGATCCAGAAAAAAAAGGCCAATAACCATTATCAGGAATGAAAATGCAATAAAACTACAGATTGTGATGGGTACTTTTTCTTAATAAGTCCATTACAAAACATCTTAAATCCTCATAAAGTTCCTCATTTTTAAAATCCCCAATTATTTTATGCCACACATTTTCCTTTTATACATTACTTTAAAAAAAATTTGACTCCTTATGATTCTTATTCGTCTTCTTAATCTTTTTTCTTTAATTATTAACATGTTGTGACAACATGGACAGACCTTTAGGACATTATGCTAAGGGAAATAAGTCAGACACAGAAAGACAAATACTGTATGATATCACTTATATGTGGAATCTAAAAAAGCCAAACTCATAGAAACAGAGAACAGAATGGTTGTTAGTAGGGGTTGGAGGGCAGGAGAAATGGGAAGATGTTGGTCAAAGGGTACAAATTTCCAGTTATGAGATGGATATCTAATAACTGGGAGTCTAATGTATAGCATGGTGACTATAGTTAACAATACTGTACACTAATGCATTGCTTAAAGATGGGGACACGTTCTGAAAATGCATCATTGGGTGATTTGGTTGTTATGCGAACATCATAGAGTGTACTTACACAAACCTAGATGGTACAGCCTCCTACACACCTAGGCTATACAGTATAGCCTATTGCTCCTAGGCTACAAACCTGCACAGCATGTTACTGTACTGAATACTGTAGGCAATTGTAACACAATGGTAAGTATTTGTGTATCTAAACATATCTAAACATAGAAAAGGTACAGTAAAAATAAGGTATAAAAGATAAAAAATGGTGCGCCTGTATAGAGCACTCACATGAATGGAGCTTCCAGGACTGGACGTTGCTCTGGGTGAGTCAGGGAGTGAGTGGTGAGTGAACATGAAGGCCTAGGACATTACTGGACACACTGTAGACTTTATCAACACTGGACACCTAGGTTACACTAAATTTATTTATTTATTTATTTTCCCCCCTTGTCTCCCCAAAGCCCCAGTAGATAGTTGTATGTCATAGGTGCACATCCTTCTAGTTGCTGTATGTGGGACGCAGCCTCAGCACGGCCGGACAAGTGGTGTGTCGGTGCGCGCCCGGGATCCAAACCCGGGCCGCCAGTAGCGGAGCGCGCGCACTTAACCACTAAGCCACGGGGCCGGCCCCCAGGATACACTAAATTTATAATAAAATATTTTTCTTTCTTCAGTAATAAATTAACCATAGCTCACAGTAACTTTTTTACTTTATGAACTTTAAATTTTTTTTAACTTTTCGACTCTTTTGTAATAACACTTAGCTTAAAACACAAACACATTGTACAGCTGTGCAAAAATATGTTTTCTTTATATTCTATAAGGTTTTTTCTGTTAAAAATTTTTTTTCACTTTTTAAACTGTTTTTGTTAAAAACTAAGACACACACACATTAGCCTAGGCCTAGACATCACCAGGATCATCGACATCACTGTTCCACCTCCACATCTTGTCCCACGGGAAGGTCCTCCAGGACAGTAACTCGCGTGGAGCCGTCGTCTCCTATGACAACAAGGCCTTCTTCTGGAACGCCTCCCGAAGGGCCTGCCGGAGGCTCTTGCTGAGGAGGTGTCACTCTCCAGAAACATGTCCATGGTGGTTTGCTTGGTTTGTTTCCTTTCTTCACCATAGATTCACTTGTAAGCAGATGATGCACATGAACCTTCCTCTCTATTAATGAAAATGTTTCAGTGTTGGGGTCCCTGCTTTCAAACTTTTTAAGGAGCTTGCTGAAGTCTGCACAAGCTTCTGCTAAACCCCACACTGAATTATCTTGGGGGTTCTTCTTTTCTTCTCCTGCAGTTTCCTTTTCTCCTGCCTCTTCTTCAGCTATGCGTTCCGGTTCCGGTTCCAACAACTCCTCTGTAGTCAATTCCTCAGGAACCACCTCCAGGAGCTCCTCAATGTCATCCTCATCCACACCCAGGTTAAAGTTGTTTGCATCTCAGCCACAGCCTTGTTGATTTTTGCAGCCTCCTCATCCTTGGCAAATCCTTTGAAGTCACGGACCACCCTCCTGAGTGTCTTCTTCCAGATGCCATTCATACACTCCTTGGTGACATCATTGCAAGACCAAGCAAGGTTCTTGATGCAATCACAGATGTTGTAATCCTTCCAGAATTGCATCAGTGTCTTCTCAGTGTTTCCTGAGCTGCAGCAATAGCCTGGGCAAAGGTCCTCCCTCAGGTAGGAGGCCTTAAAAGCTGTTATAACTCCTTGATCCATTGGTTGGGTCAAAGAGGTGGTGTTTGGAGAGAGAAACACTGCTCTGATATTAGGATGATGATCACCAATAAAAGGAAGATGTGTGGGACCATTATCAACAACAAGCAAAATCTTGAAAGGTAAGTTATTCTCCACAGGGTACTTCTCCAGTTCACTGGCATAGCAATTCAGGAGGGCATCTTGGAAGAGGAGCTGAGTCATCTATGACTTCTTATTGCTCCTGTAGTTCACTGGCAGTGTGTGCTTATTGACATGTTTGAAGGCCATCTGAACCCCATCTGGGGTTCTCAGATCACAAAGGGTTTCAGTTTGTAGCCTTCAACATTGCCCAAGCAAGAATGTTATCCTGTCCCTAAAAGCCTTGAAACCTGGCATTGACTTGGCTGCCTTATGCATGAAAGTCCTTTCAGGCATCCGTTTCCAGAATAGGGAGGTTTCATCCATATTGAGTATTTGCTCTGGCAAGTAATTTTCCTCCACAATCATCTTTTCTAGAGTTTCCAAAAATTCTTTAGCTGCCTTCACATCAGCACTCATAGATTCACCACTCACTTTCACATTATGTAATGAATAACAATTCTTGAATCCTTTAACCACACAGAGCTAGTAGTCAATTTAATATCGTAGTCAGGTCCAGCCTTTTCTTTCAACGTTGCAAGCGAACTGTTTTTTTGACTATGATCGTCATGGTGCTGAGAGGGATATGCTTCTATCTCTGGTCTTCAATCCAGGTCATAAGAAGTTTCTCCATGTCTGACAGAGGCCCTTCTCTAATTTTTATTAGTCTCATTGCCTTCAATGAAGCAGATCCTTTAACAGCTTCTGTCACTTTGTTCTTGTTCTTCGAGATGGTAGCTGTGGTGGAATGGGACGTGCCTGACTGGTGAGCAATAACCATCTCTGATTTTCCAGCTTTATATCCCTTAATCACTTTTAATTTTGTTCCCAGGTCAATTACTCGACATGCCTTCCTACTGGCAGCATTAGCAGTGGATTTTGTACACTTAGGGGCCATGATGAGCAAAACAATGTGAGATTAAATCAAGCACAAGATAAAAGGATGCAATCAAGAGACACAGTATAAACACGAGATGTATGTAGTCTGCCGGTGTAACGCGGCATACTGTTTTACAGTGAACTTTTTCTTATAAGTAGAAAGAGTACACTCTAAAGTAATGATTAAAAGTATAGTTAGTAAATACATAAATCAGTAACACAGTCGTTTATTATCATTATCAAGTATTACATACTGTACATAATTGTGTGTGCTGTATGAACCTATGGCAGTGCAGTAGGTTTGTTTACAGCAGCATCACCACAAACACGTGAGTGATGCATTGTGCTACAATGTTAGGATGGCTACGACATCACTAGGCAATAGGAATTTTTCAGCTCCATCACAATCTTATGGGACCACCATCGTATATGCAGTCCATTATCGACGGAAATGTTATGCGGCACACGACTGTACTATATATACTTGAAAGTTGCTAAGAGAGTAGACCTTCAGTGTTCTCACCACAGTATAGAAATGGTAATTATGTGAGGTGACAGAGGTGCTACCTAAAGCTATAGTGCTAATCATTTTGTAGTATATAAGTGTATCAAATCAGCACATTGCACACCTTAAACTTACACAATGTTCTATGTCAATTATATCTCAATAAAGCTGGGGGGTTAGAAATAGTACACTGGTACTTCTGAAAAGCACTAACTTTTGTACATAATATTTTCTCCTACAATTGATATTTTATGGTGAAATTTGCTTTGATTGCCATTTAGCAATTTATATTTGTAAAAGCATCTTATTTTAGCTAATTATTTTTTAATTGAACAATACCAATTTAATTCTGCTCTTTTATTTAAAATGCTCCTGCTCTTCCTGATCCCCCAACAATCATTAGGTTTATTAGTAGCCTAACTTTAGATTCCTTCTAGATTATGTTGTGTACTCTAATGAAAATACTGAATCATTCTCATACTTGAGTATTTGTGCATCTAATATATTATATATAATATGTAATATACTCCTCCAGAGTGTACCCAGTTAGCAAAACAAGCAAAATTTTGAATTATTAAGGGCTGAATAGCGGCCGGCCCCGTGGCTTAGCGGTTGAGTGCGCACACTCTGACGCTGGCGGCCAGGGTTCAGATCCCGGGCGCGCACCGACGCACCGCTTCTCCGGCCATGCTGAGGCCCCGTCCCATGTACAGCGGCTGGAAGGATGTGCAACTATGACATACAGCTATCTACTGGGGCTTTGGGGGAAATAAATAAATAAATAATGTAAAAAAAAAAGGGCTGAATAAAATATTTTCTTTCTGTTATGGGAAACAACACAAAACAAGACTCCAATTGGCTGAGATCTAAAGGCTTTGGATTTAGTACAATGGTATATACATTCCTTTAGATGAATGCTTACCTTATACACTGTTTTCATCATTTCTAGAAGAGCTTTAGCATTGCAGTGACTCTGACTGGTTTCAGTCCAATAATGAATTTGAGAAATGATGGCAGTTTTAAGCATCTGGACCAGTGTGTTGAGAGAAGATTCTTGCAAAGATGCCCAACACTGCTCTGAGGGGTGTAAAATCAGCCATGATAAATATGCACCCTCTATAAAACTCCCTCAGTTTCTACTAGGTTCTTTAATATAAGAAATAGATCATATTTTTCATTTCTTATAGTATAACCCCTAAAATATCTTTCCTAAGGATATCATTCTGAACAACATTTATTACTCATGAATGTGGAAAAAAAATGTTTTCCCTGATTAAGTATCATTGAAATTAAAAGCTCAAATTCAGGATTCTGAAGAAATTTGTTGATAGTTCATATTTATGCTTTATTACTTGATTGATTTCATGATTTTCAAACTGAATATTCTATGAGGTATCTATAAAGCCTGAAAACATACATAGGTGAATACACACACACACAATGTCATCAAGGACATTTTTAATCTGTAAAAAATAAAATATTATCTGTTTTCAGACTTTATGAACATCTGGTATACATGATATACTTTTTAAATTAGCTCAATAACAATATTGTAATGTTACTGAGGTTACAAGCTGGACTTTTGTACCTTTAAAGGACAATTCTCAGAAAATAAATCTATCGAACGTTAAAATACATTATCAAGCTAATGTAATTAAAATAGTATGACCCAGATGCATGACAGGCAAATCCACGTAGCAGAGAGTTCATAAATGGACCCAAATACACATGAGACTTTAGTACATGATAAAGGTGGCATTGCATATTAGTGGGAATGAAACAGATCATTCAGTAAATGTGTGGGGACAACTGGAAACTGATCCAGAAAAAAATAAAGTTTAATTAAGATAAACTCCATATGGATCAAAGATTTAAACATAAAAATGAAGCAATAAAAATTCTAGTAGAAGCACAAGAAATTTTTTAAAAAATTTCCAGTGTGGTAGACTTTTTGAAGTATGACCCAAATTCAGAAACCACAAAAGAAAACGTTAATATAGTAGGCTGCATAAAAATGTTTAAAAATAATTATGCAAGACAAAAATACCACAAAGTAAAAAAATAATAACCCAAAGAAAAAAATTTGCAACTCATATTATTGATAAAGAATTAATTGCCTTAATAGTTGCAAAGCTCCTAAATAAAAAAGAAAAATACTAACAACAAATGGAAAAATGGGTAAGAGGGAAGAACTGATAGTTCCCAGAATATGATATACAAATGGAACTGAGATATAGGAAAACCAGTGCAACCTCATTCATAATGAGAAAATTCAAATTCAAATTAAGAGATTCTTTTTTTCAGAATGGCAAAGCCCAAAGTTTGATAGTAATGTAGAAAATTGTGGGCTGATGCTCTCACATTTGTTGGTGAAGTGTAAACTCGTCCATCCTCTGTCAGGGCTGCCATGTTGCCCAACTCCAGGGGTGCAATTTACTTAGACTACACCGTGAATGGTGACCACTTAAAGTTGCGCAACATGGTGGCCCTGATTCTGTGGAGGGTCATTTGGCAAAATCTCTCAAAATTTAAAATGCACAAATAATCTGACCCAGTAGTTTTGCTTTCTGGAATTCTTCCTGCCTGTGAAAATTTATGTATGTACAAAGAAATGCATGTTAGCACTGTTACTAACAACAAAAGATTAGAAACAACTATTTGTAGTATATCCTCCCAATAGAATACTATTCAGCCCTTAAATGGAATAAGGCAATTCTATAGGTCCTATAACAGAATGGTTTCCATGATATACTTTTAGTGGGAAAAAGCAAGTTGCCAAAGAATGTGAATGGTATGCTACCATTAAAAAAAAAAAAAAAAGAATACATTTCTTTATGTTTTTATGCATACAGAATATCTTTCAAAGGTTACACAAGAAACTCTATTCTGTAACTGCTTTCTGGGAGGGGAACTGGGTGGCTTATATTTCACTGTATATATACCTTTGTACCTTTTAAGCTTTGGACCTTGAACATTAGCTTAAAATTGTAAAAGGACATCCTATAGTATTGAATAAAATAAAAAACAAGAACACAAAGTTTAACATTTTTTTTCATCACTTCTGGTCAAAACATCTAAAGTTTTAAAACAACATGAGCAAAAAGTTTTAAAGTATGCATTTATCTGGAGTGGATCCTTTATGGTTATTAAACTCCGATGTCAAAGCTATGTCCAAGTCTAAGAATTACCATGCTTTGTATGATAAGAGTAATGATTATAATAGCTTTAGGTTAACCTTTGCAATAATTCACATGCCACGTACTCAAACATTTGTCTATTTTGAAATCTTCTATCCAAAATTTGCTACAACTTTTACTTCAGACAGTGACTCTGTTGCGAGTACAGATAAAGTGACATAAAAGTAATCAGACTTACTCAGGACTCGTAAAGACTTGTCACTCATATTACAAACAGCCTTTGCAAATGGCACCACTAGACTCTCCCAGTTCCTAGAATCATGCATCACAGGACATTCTGGGAGAAGAAGGAAAACTGATAACGCTTCTCGGTGTGGAGAACGACGTGGAAGAGCTCTGAGAAGATTATCCCTGAGACATGCAGTCACCTGCAGTTGCAATAAGATCAGGGAAAGGCCCAGGATATATTAGATACAGAGGTATTGTGAGCAACAAGCTGTGGGGTTTCATTCCTCCATGTTCCAATTGGAATAATCATTTAGCTTTCCCGAAACCTGCTGTTCAAACTCCATCACTCCTTGCATCCCAAATGCCCCTGAAGTGCTATGTGAGAGCCATTCTCCCTATTTTATATTGGGGCGCATGAAGGAAATAAAAGTGAAATCACATGTGCAAGGACATACTGAGTGAATCGTGGAGGTTGCTCGATTAGAAGGGATCTGTCCCCAGATCTATCCGACCTAAAATCTACCACGGCAGAGGGAATGCCATACGTTCAACCTCACCAATCCTGTTTCATCTTCCTCCTGGGCTCCCAGGAAGATGGCATTTCCCAGCCTCCCCTGCAGTTAGGTGGGGCCATGTGACTGAGTTCCAGCTAACAGAATGTGAGTGAAGGTGATATATGACACTTCCAGGCATGACCCCTAAAACCTCGCAGGTGATCTTCCATACTCTCTTTCCTCACCTGCCAAACACAAAACAAAACAGAAAACCAAACACAAAAGATCCACTAGAGGAATGGGGCCAGCCCCGTGGCCTAGTGGTTCAAGTTCCACGTGCTGCACTTTGGCGGCCCAGGTTCACAGGTTCGGATCCTGGGTGTGGACCTACACCACTTGTCAGCCATGCTGTGGCAGCAACCCACACACAAAATAGAGGAGGAGTGGTACAGATGTTAGCTCAGGACTAGTCTTCCTCAAGCAAAAAAAAGAAAGAAAGAAGAGGAAGATTGGCAGTGGATGTTAGCTCACAGCGAATCTTCCTCAGCAAAAAAATAAAAAAGAAAGAAAGATCCACGGGAGGATTTCATGGCTCCAGGGCCTAGCATTCCGGAAAGAAGGAGGCTGAGTCAATTCTGAATGAACCTCTGCAGAGGTGGGAAGGGTAGTATAACACGGCCCCCCCAAAATACGCCACTCTGGCATGAGGATGGTTTTGAGCTAAGGCAAGTAAGAAAAAGCAGACATAGAAGGAGCTCTCTGGCCTCCCCCATCTACCTGAAAACAGAACACAAATTCCCCTTGTGAAGGGGTCCTCCTGCCTGCAACTTCCTGTACCAGGAAGGAGATAACCACCTTATTAGCACCAATGAGCTGGCACTGAGAAAGAGTCTATACAAACAAACTTCACTAACTAGCCCTTATCTACCATTCATTCCTCCATATATTTGCCCTCCCACAATCGGCCACCCCAGAAGCTCAAAGTCCTTTTCCTTTGTCTTCTCACTTATCTACAAAATTATTATTCTTTGCTTAAGAGTCTATATAAGCCCAAATTCTAACCACCCCTTTAAGTTACTCATCACTGCGTACTTCCACGCATATGCAAGATGCACATGTTAATAACATGTTTTTCTCTTGTTAATCTGTCTTTTCTCAGTGTAATTTGCAGGGCCCCAATGAAACTAAAATGGGTAGAAGAAAAATAATTTTTTTCCTTCCCTACAGGTACTTCCTATCTCGACTCTCAAAGGACTAGGATGTGAGAAAAAACCTTGGGGCCGGCCCAGTGGCGCAAGCAGTTAAGTGCGCAGGCTCCACTGCGGGCGGCCCGGGGTTCGCCGGTTCGGATCCCTGGCGCACACCGACGCACTGCTTGTCAAGCCATGCTGTGGTGGCGTCCCATATAAAGTGGAGGAAGATGGGCAGGGATGTTAGCCCAGGGCCAGTCTTCCTCAGCAAAAAAAAGAGGAGGATTGGCAGATGTTAGGTCAGTGCCAATCTTCCTCACAAAAAAAAAAAAGAAAGAAAAAACCTTAATTGTGTTAAGCCATTGAGATTTGCAAGTTGTTCGTTATGACAGCTTATGTTGGAGGAGGTAATCAAGAGGATGTGACCATGGTTGACCCTCAAGCTGAACCCAGGCAATCTGAGGCTCCTCACTCCCTCCTCTTTCCTTGGAATGTACACTCTGCCTACCGTTCCCACCATGGAAGCTGTTCCAAAGACGCAGCCTTGAGAGAGTAAGGTGTGGTTGAGACCATCTGGACTGCATATGTGACTAAACCCAGTTAAGGCCTCTCTATAAACTTTTAAGATTCTGGCAGGCAGGTATAGAGATCTACCCATCTCACGGCTGCCCAAGACAAGTCTCGTTTGTAAGTTCCCTTGCTTTTAAACCTGCCACCTGCTAATCTGTAGTGGTCTGCATCTTTCCTTGGTCTCTTCTTACCCTCCATGTACAGGAGCCAGTTTGTAAACCAACAGTTTATTTACTCCAATAGATCTCAGATACGCTTAACTACAGTGTCTGCCTCTACATGTCATATGGGGTAAGTAAGATGATCTATGCAACAGTAAACTGTGCAGTACTGTATATTATTACATTAATCTTCTTATAATTTGTTTTTCCATGTGTCCAGAAGAACATGATTTCTGTGGAATGCTAGGTGTATATGGGAAAACAGTGTCACAAAGTCAAATAACTTTGAGAAAAAGAGGGTCAAAAAGGCTAGATTTCTTTCAGTGTATGACATCTCGGAATCTTTGATTTACTAATATGCATCATGACTCCATAATAATATGCAGTGTTCCCAAAGTTGTTTCACGAAGAACCCTTTTTCATGGAACATTCTGTGAAATTAAATGTTCCGTGGAACTTACACTGGGAATAGCACCCCAAGATATCTCCCGTATCAGCTAAATAAATTTATTTTAAAAATATACTTGATAACATTTACTATTTTTACTTCATCTTGACAATAAAAATGTAGTATCTACTGCACATTAAGGAATACTCTCCCCATTTCCTCTCCAAATGTAGGGACCCACAGTTGTATAAAGATGACTTTCAACTAAAGACATTTGAGATATAGCTGATGCAGAAAGAAGCCTTCAGAGTTCCCCTTATCTGACTAAAGGCAGGGCCTTCCACGAGTGAAGCAGCCATAAATCCCCTCTCAGCGGGCGAGCTTCACTGCCAGGAAGAAGACCAACCACCTCCACTTGGATGAGAAATTGCATAAACAAACATTATTACAAGCTATCATATCTTCCATTTGTCTCCCCAAAATGTCCATTTGTTTTCCCATAGAAACCCTCTCTCCCCCTTCCCTTTTTCCTATTAAGTTGGTATACAGACCCTCATCCCTAGCTGTTCCAGGAGCCTTTTCATCTGAATGCTCCTGTGTGCACATAAATAAAACTTGTTTCCTTTTCTCCTGTTAATCTGTCTACTACTGTTAATTGGAAGGCACGCAAACACATGAACCTAAACTGGTAGAGAGACAGTTTTCTTCCAAACACAACCCAGAATCACAAAATGTTAAACTGGAATAGACCTTCAAGATGAACTCGATTTATAGGTAAAGAAAATGTCATCCAAAGAGGATAAGGGATGAATCCGTAACAGAGTCATCTCGACTAGATTTGAGATTCATCCCAAAATGGAGAATGGGCTTTTCAGGCTCCCAGCCCAGCATGAGGTCATCCTGCTTCCCAAACTGTTACCACTGAAAAAGGGGGTTCGTCTGCCTGCCAGCAGACATGCTAACAGTTAAGAGGCAAGGTGGTAGGAGAGAAAGGACTTTTTATTATAGCTTGCTAGCAAGAGGGAAGATGGCCGACTAATGTCCAAAAAAAACCGTCCAAAAAAAAACCATCCTAAGGGGGCACAAAATCTTACAGCAGTTTTATAGGCTTGTGGGTTATAGGGGAGGGGGTTAGGAATGTCGACCCTCTGATGTTACAGACTGGGAGTCACCACACCACATCTTTCAGTTTCACTGATGATGGCTATCAGCGTAGACTCCCTGTTCGGGGGTCATCACATTCTTAAGGAACTCAAAAGCACAAAGTTACCATCTTATCGCAGCTGGGAGGCACATGCACAAGCAGGGGTCATACAATCTACAGAGCAGGTAGGTCTCCTGGAGGGTGCACATCAGCTGGGTTAGTTAGTCAGAGGTCCTTCAAAGTTACAATAGGCTTTCTTTTCTCCAATGGCTTCCCTCATGTCAACCTTGTTATGAGCCGGTATCAAAACTAGTGCTCTTTTCATAGGTTCTTTACTTTTCAAGCATTGGTTTCCTCATATTAAAAATAAAAATATCATATCTACTGTACATTTAAGTGTTCAATAAGAAAATAAATGCCAGCACCCAATACAGTGTCTGGAATATAGTAACCTCATAATGAACACTAGCCCCCTTCCCTTTCAGAGCTCCCTCTCACTCAGCTCCCAGTAAAATTAAACTGCAACCATATTGGTTCCTGTAAAGAAATTCTATTGCTCTATTTCTCAAGTAAATATTGGCTATTACCATGAAAGAAATCCATTCCTTTTTCGTTAACTTCTTGAAGGTATCTCTTGCCATTTCTAAGTCCACATCAATGGGAATCATTTCTCCAGACTCTCTTTGGATACAAGAAATGCAGAAAAACACATAAACAGATGGAAAGGAATATTTCTAAACTTCATATATCACTATGTATTGTTTTATTTTACTACATATCAGACATAAACTTTTTTCTTAAAGCTTGCCTCCTTTCAAAATAATCAATTTACTTGGCACAAAAAAAATTTATAAAATTTATATTCTCCTAGAAGAAAGCAGTTAACAATTTATTACCTCTACAGTAGCTACAACAAGTTTGGGCTGCAATAATAGCAAAATTTTATATGCTGCATCTGAAAATGGAAACTGTTTACCCCCACACTCAGCCTGCACACTGAGAACTGAACCTACCTACCCCCACACGCCTCACCATCTACACTTCCTTTACTCTGGGATTCCATTGTTTCATTAGCATAACTTCACTATTCCTAAAAGTCTCTTGTTCAGGTAAATGGCCTGATAGTTCATTAGAGGAACCTCCTGAAAAGATTCATTAATTCTTCAATGGAAAGCATCAACAGACAGTTTATGCCTTAAGATTCTTTGAATTTCTTGTCTCAAAATCCTTGCCTTGCTGTTTCCATCAACTCTGGATTGTTTTGTCTTTCCCCAACCCCAGTTAAACCTCCAAACCTCCCCCCGCTTTTGGTTTAAAGACCTGCCTTAAACCAAATTGCCGATTCGATAAATTCAGACCTGGCCTTCCCCTCAGAAATATTACCAAAGTTTTGTCTAGGTGTGGCGTTTCCCTGGGTTGTGTTGGTAATGTTTGAGGAGCCTGCATTCTGCCGAACAACTTGTTTTTATAATGTACTATCAAGAAATATTTTACGTTTGCTGGATTAACTTGATCAGTTGTAATACTAGGGCTAAAACATTTATGTAAGTACTAAAACAAAGTACTATTGTAAATTTCCCTTTAAAATATATTCTCCTTTGCAGTCTTTGTCATCTTAAGATCAAACCTTGAGGTTCATCACTCCTGGGAGTGGGGCATGGATACTTTCCCACTTTAGAAAGATAATATTCTTACTGTAGAGAAGATTCTCCTGTATGTAGTAAGGATAAGAATTAGCCTGAGGCCAGAGTTGGGAAGAAAGAGGATACACTGTATGGTAGAGTCCCTCCTTTCCAGCCTGGAAAGATGGCAAGAAGAGGAAGGCAAATGGGAGAGAAAGCAGGCAGAGGGAAGCAGTGTCCTGATTTCTCCTCTCCTCCCTTTGGCTGGGATATGTACAGATGAATAGGGATGCTTTTGGGGGCTCGAGAAAGATACTGTCTCATGAACCGCCAGCGGGAAGCCATGACATTTTGCTTCCCTGGGCTTCTCTGGTTCCCAGGTGAAGTCGTTGGACCCAACAGCTCCTCCAGTCCCCCTCAACGGTGACTGAGAATGCAGTTGGATTAAGAACCAAAGGGACTGACAACAGGAGGTTACGTAGAGGCAAGGAATACCTGCAACAAGGGTTAAGTGCGTAACATCTAGTGGCCAGGAGAGGGTATGAGATGCGTACAACTATCTTCTGAGCCAGTGAGCCAACCTGAGGCCAAGTCAACAGGGAGGGATAGGACCTGAGGTAGCGAAGGAGGACTGGAATGAGTTCCACCAGCTGCAGACAGACCCGCAGGCACTGGCCTCCAGAGAAGGCAGAGGCAGCCTAAGGGCCCCTTTATGCTGCTATCCACCCTCCCCTCCCTTAGATACTGGTAAACTAATTAAACAAGAGGCCAGTACACTGAGGTGGCTCTCCTGCCACGGTGGCGGATGCAAGCCAACCAAAATCTAAGCCTGCAAATGCCTCAGTTACAGAATCAAAACCTAAGGACAACCCATCAGAGCCAACTAGGCTTTCAGCTACAGCCAATGAAATAATTTTCTTTCTTTGCTTCTGCACCTTCTGTATCTGTCTTTCCCCTGGCTCCTGTCTGTGGAGCACTCCTAACCACTTCCGATGCACTGCTGCCTGATTCGAATCAATGTTTGCTCAAGCTCTTAAAATTTGTAATATCCCTCACTTTATCTTTCAACGGTTCCCAGGCATGGTACTGGAGAGCACAGAGGGAGGAGAAGAAATAGAAGACCAAATGTTGAGCATTTCAAAAAAGAATTGTTTAAACTACTGGATCAGACCAAGCATCAAACCGGATAGAGAAGTTAGATTTTCCTCTGTAGTAGTTAAGACTAAAGATAAAATAAGTAAGATGTATTTTCCTTATTGATCTTGCCACAGTAAGAACTGCCAAGTGCGGCCTTGGCCTCTGAGGGCTAAAGCAGTGTTAGAATGAACTGAGCACTCGTAGGTAGATACAAAGATTCTGAAGAAACACCATTCCTGCCGACCAGATAACAGGGAAGGGCGGGCCGAGGAACTGAACAATGTACATTAGAAATGACAGCTTTACAGTGGTCTCAGAGAAAATCACTTTACAAAATGGAAGAATGCTGTAACAACCTATGGAGTTTTCTGTGTTGGATTTTTGGTTCATAAATAACAAAATTCACAAATTAAAATAACTGACTCGAAACATTTCATTTTAAATATTCCCATGTGTTTTAGGAGGTCAATCTCATGTAAACATTACCTGTTCTTTAAAAAACTTGCAGTCAGACAAGCAGGTGATGAAAATATCATTCTAATTTCACTGCGAAAGTAATAACATAAGGGTTAAGTCACAACATTCTCTAAAGCCTGCCTCCTTGTATCTTATGTCTGAATATACAACTGATGACATGGAATCATTATTAATGAAAATAACTACTCTCCTAAGAGTCTTCCAAATTCTGGGCATACTTTGTGAGTGCTACTGCTAAATCTCACCAAAACCCTTCATAGTTGATTTGATTGAGTCATCTAGAATTAAATAAAATGCTTCCTTCTGAAAACAGAAACTTAATAAGCTCCAGAGAATAAACTATGAAGATATAAAAACAGTCTGCCTTAAGGAAGACTCTGATTTCCTCCTGCATGTCCCTCACCTACCAAGGGGACGGGATAGTGCCTGTCCTCAGTATACCTCTGTTGAATGAATGAATGAATGAATGAATGAATGAATATATCAATGACTTCTTCAAACTCAGACACGGTAAGAGAGAATCACAGTTAAAATGCAAATGCCTTAACAGCAAAGCCAAACCCTCTTTCTTATGTCTAGGATAAAACGACCAAGGCTTCAGAACCAAATAAAAGTGGTTTATAACTTATCAGACAGAGCCACCTCTTAGCCACTTCACATTCAGTACTTCCATTTGTCACGACCATCCATTTTTCTGTCAAGGACTGGTTCATTTGGCTTATTTCTGGCAGAGTTTTCCTGGAAACACTTGTGGAACTAGTAGCCTTCAAGGAGGAAAGAAAAAAAAGAACAATCAGGAAAACCCACATGCATGCTGAGTAATAAATAACACAGTAAAGCTGTGCACAGGTGGTAGACAGGCCCCGCCCTCTCAGACAGCGAGGTTTGCTGGAGCTTCGGCATCATGCTCGCCTGGCATTCCAACTCCCGGCCTTGGCTGCTTTGCTTGGTCTGAGCCTGTTTTATCATTTAGAAAATAGGATAACACAAAAGAATTGAAAACAGGGATTCAAACAGATACTTATACACCAACCTATACTTTTTGGTTATTGTGAATAGCCAAAGATGAAAACAACCTGTGTCCATCAACAACATCACAGGGTGAATGTGGCATATAGATATATAATGGAATATTATTCAGCCATAAAGAAAGAAATTCTGATATACACTACAACATGGATGAAAACATACTGAGTGAAATAAGCCAGATACAAAAGGACAAATATTGTATGATTCCACTTATATGAAATGGGAAAATTCATAGACAAAGTAGATTAGAGGTTACCTGGGGCTGGAGGTAGGGGGAAATAGGCAGTTATTACTTAATAGTGACAGGGTTTCTTTTTGGTGTGATGAAAAGGTTTTGGAGATGGATAGTGGTGATGGTTGCACAACACTGTGAATGCAATTAATGCCACTTAAAAATGGTTAAAATAGCAAATTTTATGTTATGTATATTTTTTACCACAATAAAAAAATGAGATAACGATACCTACCTCTCTGGGCTCTTGTTAAGATTAAGTGATATTAGGTACACAAACCTAAAGATTACAGTAGGTGCTCAATAAATATTGGTTTCCTTCTCTCCTTTAATCACCTGCAGACTTACTTTTATATCAGTGGTTCTTAAATTTGGCATGCATCTGAATCACCTGGTGGTCTTGCCAAAGCATAGATTGCTGGGCCCATCTCCATAGTTTCTGATTTAATAGGTCAGGAGTGGAGCTCAAGAATTTAAATCTAGCAAATTCCCAGGTGATGCTAATGCTGCTGGTTTGGGGAGCACACTTTGAGAACCACAGTGTCTGTTAAAACCAAATGGCTCAGCCAGAGGTATCAGAAATCAGTGTGTGGAAAGAAAAATCTGTCTTTAATACAGTCTTCCAAAGACACAAGTGCTCTGCTATGTATTATACCTGTGCCTCCACTGAACTTACGAGTCAGGAAATTCCACATCACTTTTGTTTATTGCTTAAACAAAGGCCTCTTGAAAAAGATATGTAACCATGACTCCTAAAGTTCCCTTCAGCTTCTTCATCTGAGTCCCAAGCGTCCCCTGTAGCTCAGTCATGAGGAAGCTTTTTTCCCTCCCACATCCCAGGAACCTTAAAACAATGAGGTGATCCCTACTGGCCCCTACATACCATTTCTACAGTGTTTTGTTACAGCAGCCCAAACAGGCCAAGACACTCATTTTAGAGTGGAACCCAGTCCAACACTCTCGGAGGCCACTGAGATCTCCAATCCATTGACCTATTTGTTCATTATCCATCCCCTCCTCACGTCTTCCTGACCCAGCTTACACTCTGTGGTCAGCACTATAATCGGTCCTTTGCCAACACCTCTAACACTTCTGTCCCTTTCCTAATGTATCTACCTAGCAAGTCCATCTGTAGTTAAACTCAACTCTGGACTACTCCAGAATCCAATCCAACCAGTTTAACAGCACTGGAGAAAATCCTACAATTGTGCTGACTGATTTCACTTTACGTCTATAACCACAGATTTCAAACAGGCATTCAATACTGTCTAGTAATTTCCCATGACATCTGCTTTCTCACTCTCTGAGACAACTACTGCACACTTTCCTTTTATTCCTAAACCTGTGACACTGCTCCTCCACTGCACTCACTCTCGGAGGAAGACCTCGCTTTGTGCATCACTGAGAAAACTAAAGCCATCAGGCAATAATCACCTTCCACCATCCACCTACCCTCACCTGCACTGTTCCTTATTAGAACAGAATAAATATTTCCACTCAAACCCCTACATTCCGCATTGGATCCTGCTCCGCTCTCCTATTTTGGGACAATTCTGCAATTATTCACTCTTTCTCATCACCATCACTTTCTCCATCTGAACTGGATCATTCTCACCAGCATATACACATACCTTAATACCACCTTTCTAAACAACAACAAAACCCTCCCACAGTCCTCTCCTCCCCTTCACAAAAAAACTTCTCAGAATCGTCAGTCATTGTCTCCACTTGCTCCCCTCCTATTCTGGGTCTCTCTCACTCTGTCCGGTTACATTCTCTCTCCCCCAAGATGACTCAGCCTTAACAAAGCAAAAACAAACTCTGTGCTCATCTTACTTGACCTCTCAGTACTACATGACGGAACTGCCCACTTCCTCCTTCTAGAAATACTTTCCTCTCTTGTTTTGATGAGCCACCCTCTCCTGGCTTCCCCTTACCTCAGAAACCAGTCCTTCTCAGTCTCTTCTGTCTCCTCCTCACTGCCTGACCTCTAAATGGAGAAGTCCCTCACGGCTACATTTTGGCCCCCTTCTCATTTTGACTTTCTCTCTGGGTGACCTTTCATCCAGGCCCCTGGCTTTAAATACCATCTACAGTTTGATAACTACCATGTTGCTATTCTGGTGCTGACATCTTCCCTGAGCTCCAGATTCAGACATCCAACTAAGACTCAGGAGGTCCTCTCTGAGGACATTTCAAACTGACCCATCTCTCATAACTGACCCCACCTCACATTCCTGACTCCATCTCATGTAACCCTTCACCCTTCCCTACCAAGCTCTGCCTGCCTGGCCTTCTTTCTGTCCCTCAGACACGCTAAACTCACTCTTGCTCCACGGCCTTTCCATGTGCAGTTCCCTCACCAGAAATGCCCTTTCTCTGGATCTAGGCATGGTTTAGACCTCTGCTCAAATGTCACAGCCTCTGTGAGGCCTTCCCTGACTGACATTTCTAAAGAAGCCCACCTCATCAGTCTCAAATGGCCTGTTTTATTTTCTTCAGAGCACTTGTCACTCTCTAACATGATCTTATTTATTTTGCATTTACATGTCTATTGTCTGTCCTTCCCTGCAGAATCCAAAGGCCATGAATGAGGGCAACCTTGTCTGTATTGTTCACTTTTATCCCAAGCACAAGAGCAGAGCCTGAGACACAGGAGGCCTTTGTTCACTGGTTGATTGAACAGCCATGACAGAGCAACCAAGGGCATTCTTCTGACTATCCCCAGCACGGAAACCTTCGCCTCTGACCATTTTCTGTCCCAGGGAATATAGTAAGAGGCTATATGGATGTCGAGTTTAAAACATTCCTGACAACAGAAAAAAGTACAAATTAGGAAAACAACTGTGTATGCTTTTGTCTCCACGGGTAATGGTGTAAGCTTGGGGGCTAGACTGCCTAGGTTTGAATCCAGCTCTGCTACTTCTGAGCAGTGCAACCCTGGGGAAGTCCACCTCTCTGAGACTCAGTTTTTTCACTTATAAAATGGGGGAAATAATACCAACGGGAGTTGATGTGAGGATTAAACATATTGATCCATTTGGAGTACTTTGGTGCCTAACGCGTGATGACTGTAATTAACATTAGTCATTACTGTTATTATCATCATTAATATCGTTATTTAATAATAAACAGTTAGTGTAAAAGCAATGAATTTGGGTTTTGGGATCTCATCTGTTAGGAAGCCAAACGAGGAAGTGAGAATTACATAATAATTTTAAAAAGCATTCTAGAGCCAGCCCTGATGGTCTAGTGGTTAAAGTTTGGCGCTCTCACCGCTTCGGCAGCCCGGGTTCATTTCCCGGTTGCAGAACCACACCAGCCATCTGTCAGTTGCCATGCTGTGGCAGCGGATGGCATAGAGGAGCTAGAAGGACTTACAACTAAGGTATACAACCATGCCCTGGGGCTTTGGGGAGAAAAAATAAATAAATAAATAAATAAATAAAAAGTATTCTAACAGAGGATCTTATTATTTTAGTAAGAAATTTGAAGCCATACAAATGATACAATGTTTCAAACATTGTTCTGAAATCTAGAGAAAAAAATGATTTTTGAAAGAAACAGAAAGTATAACGGATACCTGATAAGTTGTCACAAAGTTGGCATATGTTCCAGCAAAAATGTGTTTGACTTGAACATCCACAAGGTCTAAAAGAAAGTCATAAATCCACGCTTATTGTTTTTAGAAGTAAAAAATACATCTTTTGTTGTCAACCTAAAATTGCTCTAAAAAATAGCCTTTAAAAAAATCTGATGTATTATCAAGCTAAATTTACTTATTTATTGGCAATTTATATTCTTTTAAATGGATTTTGACTACAAACAGCATAAAAGATTAATTTTGTCATATATTTACTCAGCTGAAAATTTAAATTTTCAAGCACTTGCATAAAGAAGCCAGGCTGATGTGCTTTAGAAGCGGTTTGATTAAATATATAAAAGCGTATCATTCTGATGCTTAAGTAACCTATTTGGGATCTTCTTTTATATTACCTTAATGTTTAGAAATGATTACCAAATACTCTAGGGATCATTGCAAAAGAAACAATGTACATCATACAAATGAACAGTAACAGTACTAGAAGAACCACAGTTCTGTGCACTCCTTTGAAAGGAAGCTGCATAACATTTCTCTTCCACTGCCTCAAGTAACACAAAATCAGGAATTGGTGGGACCATTCATACCTTCAGCAGAAAGCAGGCAGCTAATGTCAAAGTTCTCTGTCTGGGCCTCTGGAGGAGTTGGGCTGCTCCTGCAACTTGGTCCACGACCAAAAGACACCACCTGACCAGTGGTGTAGACATATGCAAGGGTGTGATAACTGCAAGACGGAGAATACATTAAAACAAACACCATGATACTCATGCTTTCTGAGGAGGACGATGTCTCAACACAAAATAACAGGTTTATCTTACACTAAGCATGCAGATCCCTTATCACAATGTCAGGCTTAGAGGGTACCAGATGATGTGGCTAACCAAATGGGAGGTGAGTACTAACTTACTACTGACCTTAAATGTAGAATATTATTGATGGTCTCTACTATGGTTTCTATAATTTGTGTTTTAAATGCAAGTGCTTTTTATGAATTGGGTAGATGATACTCAGTATCCTCATAATTACGTTATGCAAAAGTCTGAATATAAATGCAAATATATGTTATCTTCTACAAGCATGAGATTAATTTTATCAACTCAAGTGGATAAGTACCACTATTTTTGTTAAAAACCCACCCCTCTCCCAGTACCTAGTATGGTGGTCTATACACAGTAAACTTCCAATAAATTCTTACTAAATAAGTGAAATGCCTAGGACAAAGAAGAAAAAAATGGAAAAATTAAACTATACTATTTAGGGCCGGCCCTGTGGCTTAGCGGTTAAGTGCGCGCGCTCCGCTGCTGGCGGCCTGGGTTCGGATCCCGGGCGCGCACCGACGCACCGCTTCTCCGGCCATGCTGAGGCCGAGTCCCACATACAGCAACTAGAAGGATGTGCAGCTGTGACATACAACTGTCTACTGGGGCTTTGGGGGGAAAAAAATAAATAAATAAAATCTTTAAACTATACTATTTGAAAGAAGTAAATTTTCAGAGAGGAAAATGACCTATAAAAAGAACAGTCACATATTTTAGGGTTTTAAGGTTTGATAACATTCCATATGAGTCACTTTTAAGTAACAAAAGATAACACTTTCTACTCATGCTAAAAAAAAATAATAAAGCCTATTACCTTCCACAATCTATCTGCGAAACTAGGCCGTCAATTCTTTCCACGAGTTGTGGACCTCTGTCCCCCGCAGTGGAGCTGTATCCCAGCTGTCCACAGCTATTGTCTCCAAATGTGAACACTTTCCCATTCTGTTTAAAAAAGGAGGAATCAGACTAATTTCAGGTCAAAAAAAGTAACTAAAAACTTAACGATTAAGTATTATAAGTGAGTTATATGAGAGCACTATGTGAAATATAAGCTTTATATAAAGAGGAGGGGGTCTTATACTCATTTCTAATTGTAAATGTAGAGTTAACACATTAAACATGAAAAAAAAAATCAGTGGAATTCCCTTAAGAACTAAGCACTTAATACGTGTTTGTAGAATGAATGGATGGACCAATTAACAGGTTCAAGAGTAACACTAACATTTAAGCATAGGCTTGCTTTATTCATTTGAGCATCACTCTAAAAATAATCTCTTTTCAAAAGACGACTCTTGATTAAAACAACTCTAGCTTTCTCCTGCCAATTAAGAATAAAATAATCCAAACATGCTTTTAAAACAAATAATAAAAATAATTTTAGATACTTAGTTTTTAAATAAGCATTTCAACCACATAGTTTTCAAGTCTATTCCTTATGGTGATGGAGAGAATCCATCCCATTGGAATATACTGTATGGCCAGTGTAAGAAGGGGAGGAAAACATTCAGGAAGCCGGCTCATAGCTGTGCCAACCAAGAAATGGAACAAAGTGTGTTCTAGTCTATAATATAGGTTATTGAAAACTGTAAAAATTATTTTGTTATTTCTATAATAATTTTCATCTGTAGCGCTGCATTATGAATGAATAATTGCTAAATGGGATTAGCTCCTATAATAACCTAACTTAGTAGATTTCTAAAAATATTTCCTAAGGCTGAAAGTAGCTTTTGTCATGGGATCTTGAAAATTTCACGCTTTATATTGGGTTAACTTCTTCTCTTTGGATATTTGTACATTGAACGGATGTGCTGAGATATTGATCCACATCTTGCTTTCAACAACAATCAGTACACGTACCTTGTGGTAACATTTCTCTAGGATTTTAAAAAATAGCGAGACATTTTGGATTACCTGCGTAAGCACTGCAGTGTGCTCATAACCACAGCTGATATAAACCACACCCAGATTCCTCAGCGCACTAATCGAACGAGGCTTGTAGCTTTGCACTGTTGGAAGAAAGCAGAATCTCCAGAGTCTAAGAAGCAGACTCAGATATCATGAGTTTTTATATTTTTTATACTTTTTAACATTTTATTATCTTATAAGTCATTAACATAACTTTTAAGTGAATAATAAGAAGTATTGTTGGCAGTAATTAGCAGTCTTCTAATCCAGTAGTTCCTAAACTCTGCTGCACGCTGGAATCCTCTGCGGGATCTTTAGTGATGACTGAGGCCTGGCTTCCAACTCCAGACATTCTGATTTAACTGGTATAGGGTCCAACCTGGGCACTGGGATTTTTAAATGCTCTTAGGGTAGACAGAATAACGGCCTCCTGAAGACGTCCATGCCCATTCCCGGAGCCTGGGAATATGTTAGGTTACATGGCAAAGGGGAGTTAAGGAAGCAGATGGAATTCAAGTTGCTTATCTCTTGACCTTAAAATAGGGAGATTAGCTTGGTAATCACAAGGGGACTTTAACTGAGGAAGAGGGAGGCAGAAGAGTCAATGTCAGAGTAGTGTGACTTGAGAAAGACTTAGCTTTCCCTGAAGAAGAAAGGGGACTATGAGTCAAGGAATGCAGGCAGCCTGTAGAAGCTGGAAAAGGCAAGAAAATGGTTTCTGCCCTAGAGCCTCTAGAAAGGACCGCATCCTTGCTGACACCTTGACTGTAGCCCAGTGAGACCCGCGTCAGGCTGCGGACCACCAGACCTAGAAGATAATAAATTTGTGTTGTTTTAAGCCACTAAGTTTGTGATAATTGGTTACAGCAGCAATAGAAAATTAATATAGCTCCCCAGGGCATTTCTAACGTGTCACAAAGTTTGGGAACCACTGTTTTAACCTTTGAGACTGCCCTTTGCAGAGTCTTCCAACTGGAAAGAAAGAATGGTTTATTGTAGGAACAAGACTATCTCGTTACCTGGGACATTATTCCCACTGAGGGCCAGCTGCCCTGCACTGTTGCTTCCCCAGCCAAATGAAGTCCCACAGAGAGACAGGGCAAAGCTGTGGGCCCCTCCTGCAGCCACCTGAGCCAGGGGGATCCCCTCCAGGGACGTCACCCTCTGTGGGCTGTTTTGGGAGGGGAACTTCATCCCCAGGCCCAGCTGTCCGTGGCTGTTCTTTCCCCATGAAAACACTTGGCCATCTACAAAAATAAAGAAGAGAAATTCAGAATTGCACACACATTGGAATACCAAATCAAGTAGAAACTACCACCCTAATTCTAAAAATCTTTAAAGAATAAAACAGGGATAAAGGAAGTTAAAGTATTCTGGCTGAAGGCAAGAGGCATGGTCAAGACCACCTTCAAAAGCCCCTTCCAACAACGTCTACTCTTCTCCCTCCTAGTTAAGGGCAACCGTGTTCTTGCAGCCACTCAAGCCAAAAATCTTAGACTCATCCTTGACTCCTCTCTTTCTTTTACTCTTTAACCCAGCAAATCCTAAAGCCTCTATCTTCAGAGTTTATCCAGAATCCAATCACTTCTCACCTCTCCATTGTTTCCACCTTAGCTACCAGCTCACCATCATTTCTCTCCTGGAAAATTACAACAGCATCTCACTGGGCTCCCAGAGTCCACCCTTGCCCTCTGCAGTCTGTTCTCCAACGAGCAGCCAGGGTGATCTTTTAAAAATATAAGTCAGATCGAACCCTTTAGGAGCTAGGTATCTTACTCAATATAAGGCCAATTCTCTCTAGGGCTCACAAGCCCCACGTGACCACTCCTCCCACAACCACTTCTGGGCCTCATCTCCCCCTTGCTCAGGCTCTCCAGACCCCTGCTGCTGCTGAGCACACTGCTGGCATGCACCTACCTCATGGCCTTTGCATCTGGATCATTCTTCTGGATCATGGCCTTAGCATCATGTCTCCCTCTCTCCCTTCCTTTTGGTCTCTGCTCACATGTCACCTTATAAGAGAGCTTCCCTGACCTCCTTTCTAAAATAAAAAGATCCCTTCCCTCCACCCTGGTGCTTGCTCTCTGTCCCCTTATCCCGCCTCACTTTCCTGCACACACCTTACCCCTATCTGTTATACTACGTAACTACGTGTGTGTTTAATGGTCACTTCCCCAACTTTCCCCAGATATAAGCTCCCTGAACGCAGGGTCTTAGGTTTGTTCACGCTATACCTTCTTTGCCAGAAACACTGTAGACACTCAGTAAATACTTGCAGAATGACTCCGAGGGGAAAAAAACAACAACATTTTATGTTGAATTTGACCAGAGATGGATAATTTATATCAGGTCAAAAATCAAGCTCTTCTAGGGCCGGCCCCGTGGCTTAGCGGTTAAGTGCATGCGCTCTGATACTGGCAGCCCGGGTTCGGATCCCGGGCGTGCACTGACGCACCGCTTCTCCGGCCATGCTGAGGCGGAGTCCCACATACAGCAACTAGAAGGATGTGCCGCTATGACATACAACTATCTACTGGGGCTTTGGGAAAAAAAAAAAGGAGGAGGATTGGCAATGGATGTTAGCTCAGAGCCGGTCTTCCTCAGCAAAAAGAGGAGGATTAGCATGGATGTTAGCTCAGGGCTGATCTTCCTCACACACACACACACAAAAATCAAGCTCTTCTAATAATTATTTACCCAGAGAAATGCCAATACATCTCAGATTTTTATAACTTATTATATCTAGTTTTAATTTTTAACTCCTCTAAAGTTATTTCTACCCCTGAAAAGAATTTTTGAGGGCATATTGCAAAATGTCAAACTCTCACGAAGGTCTATGAGAACTCACCGTTCACCACAGAAATGCACTGAGTGCTGGGCTCTGCACAGCCTCTACAGTCCAGACCAACGTGAAGACAAATCAGTACCCCAAGGAAATATCCAAACCATCTCAATAATCAAGAAGGACCATTTGTGAAAACATGGATGGACCTTGAGGACATTATGCTAAGTGAAATAAGGCAGAGAAAGACAAATATTGTATGATCTCACTTATATCTGGAATCAAAAAAAAAAAAACCAGGTTCATTGATACTGAGAACAGCTCGACAGATTGGTGGTTGCCAGAGGTCGGGGGGCAGGGGGTGCGGTTGGGAGGGGAGGCGGCAAGAGGGCAAAATGAGTGAAGGGGGTCAAAAGGTATAAACTTCCAGTGATAAAATAAATAAGTCATGGGGATATGATATACAGCATGGTGACTATAGTTAATAATACTGTATTGCATATTTGAGAGTTGCATGGAGAATAAATCTTAAAAGTTCTCATCACAAGAAAAAAAACTCTGTAAACTACGTATGGTGACGGATGTTAACTAGACTTATTGTGGTGATCATTTCACAATATATATAAATATCAAATCATTATGTTGTATACCTGAGACTAATATAATGTTGTACGTCAATTATACCTCAATAAACATAAATAAATAAATAAAAAGAAGGAAAGTAAGCAAGGAAAAGAGACTACTATTTATTGTACCCTACTATCTGCTATAGACTATACAGGATATATTATGTACCTATTCTCACTGCATCTTCTAAACAACCTGTAAGCTAGGCATCAATATTCCTACAGAAGAGACAATTGAGACTCATCCAAGTTAAATAACTTGCCCCAAACCAAATAGTTAGAAATGGTGGTAGAAGGACTCATACTTGAGCCATGGGATCGCCCTGGTCTCAGGGCCTGCGTGGTACAATGGTTCAGTACTTAGGGCTGGGATGTCAACAAGCAGAGGTTCAAATCCCACCTCTTCTATTTCTTAGTGTGTGACCTTGGGCAAATTATTGAAAGGCTCTGAGCCCACATTTCTTCATTTCTGAAATGGAGATACGAATAATGCCTGGCTTCTGTGTTTGTTAGGTGATTACATGAGATAACACATGTAAAGCATCTAACCCAGTAGCTGGCACACAGAAGGCAACCAAGAAATGCCACACGACCCCTGCAGCACAGTTGCAACTATGCCCAAGATATCACCAGAGGGACACACAAAAGGATGGGGATGTTAGTAGAAAAAAATGTCAAATCACGATGTTGACATCTTGACTTGTCTTTCTTTGATCTAAGTAAAAAAGACAAACAGGCCTTTGTCTGAGTTTGCCAGTGTAGACAAGCCACTCAGCATAGACAGCAAAGTGCTAGAAATAACACCCTACTGAGTTTTGAGAGAGAGTCAGCCAGTCAGGTCACGTGAATGGAGACAGCTTTACAGCAATGAGACATGAATTAGGCGCTACCTGGAGTATAATAAGAACAAAGAAAATTGAAAAAAATACGAACAGCAATACATCTTATGAAATCTGGAGAGTTAAAAACTTCTTAATGCATTAATATGAACCCCAAAGCATTAGAAATCTACAGGTATCATTCATATTGAAAAAATTACTTGCTGATGACACTTAGGAGATCCAAAAAGCCTTCTTTACCTTCTGATAATGCCAGGGAGTGGTAGTCTCCACAGGAAACTTGTATTATTTTTATATCAGTCAGAGTTTTTATCTTCCTATAATAAAAATGATACAAAATCCATTAATTCTTCTTTAGAGTCGGTCATCAAGTGAACTCCAGAGATTCAAAACTATTTCAGGTAATATGTCTGGTCTAGGGAAATAATTTTATTTTCCTATATTTCACTAGTACCTTCATTTCAAAGCCCTCAAACTGTTTTTAACATGACATCAACATGTACAAAGGTACAGGGCAGAATCCAAAATAGTATATAATGCAAAAGTGATTTTTATGGACTTTTAATACATTATATAATGTACTAACTTTCATTCTATACTTATTAGCCTAAAAGAAAAATAAATTTCTTAATACACATATAGCACAGGGCTTTAGAATTTATAGAACACTGTCACCTACAATACCTAATTTAAGTCCTGTGAGATAAAGAAACCATTAGGTTGAATTCTATTAAACTGACATTTTTGTGGATCAAAAACATAACTATCAGCAATTTCCTATGGTTGAACCTGGCAGAATTCAAAGAGGTCAAACAGATACCAAGTTATAGAACTAGACTCAGACCTTGGTCTTTTCATGCCAAATTCAAGACTCATTCCCCCACGCCACAGGGATCTCTCATACCATTTAATGATCAGAGGAGGTAACAAGAGGTAACTTCCTCATATTAAAAAACAGGCTTTTGGGGCTGGCCCCGGGGCTTAGCGGTTAAGTGCGCGTGACCTGGGTTCGGATCCCAGGCGCAAACTGACGCACCGCTTCTCCAGCCATGCTGAGGCCGCGGCCCACATACAGTAACTAGAAGAATGTGCAACTATGACATACAACTATCTACTGGGGCCTTGGGGAAAAAAAAAAGGAGGAGCATTGGCAATAGATGTTAGCTCAGAGC